AAAGAAACAGGCCATCATCTGGAGACCTCTGAGACCTTGATAATTTATACCAATGACTCTTCACTTTTCTTTGTTGTAAAAAAAAAAAATTATAACAATATTGAAGGAAATTTTTTTAAAAAAGGAAAAAGAAAAAGATATTCATGACTCCACCACCCTAACATCAAGGCTGTTTCATTTTTCCAAGGTAGCTTTGGGTTTTTGGCTACAACATAGAAGGTTGCATGCAATGTGTCTTTTTCCGGGGGATAGTAACAGTTATTATTTTTTCTTTTTCTTTTCCTCCAGAGTCTTTTCTCTTTTTTATTCTTACCACTCCATAGTATATCTTAAGTCTTTTCCAGTGTTGACATATAATTTCATATTGGTCTCTTTTTATTTTCTAACTACAAATATTCCAGCCAATTTAATTGAGGTATAATTAATGATTCCATAATCCTTGGGCATTCTTGTTTATGGCCTTGAAGCTTTGATGTTGGGTCTTGGTAAAGCTGTAAATGAAAGGAAGTTTGTTTTCTGGGCTCATCTGCATCCTTTTACAGGTCTTTCTTCCCTGTTAGTGATCACAGTCTAGTTCTCTTGTTCTGTCCAATTCCCAAGCTGCTTGCTAAGCTTGTGCTACCACTCATGGAGCTCTCCAAAATGAAATAACATAGATTCTAGCCATTCCTCAATGGAAATGTTTCTGATTCAGGAAATAGAGAAAAGCAACAGAAAATAAAAATCTGTTATAGTATCGCTACTTAAACTTGCATACCACTGATTTGTCCCCATGTCTGTTCTGTCCCTTTCCTCCCAGTCCCTGTGCTGCCTTCCCGCTTCATTTAGAAGCTAACTTGTGTGGCATTAATGATGGCTGAATGGGTAAATCCTAGGAAGACTATAATTCTGAGGACTTAGGCACTTATTTAGGTTTAAAAAAAATGCACAAACAGGTACACAATGCCTTTCTTGGGGGAACACGAGGTTGACTAGCTTAACCCATGGAGGAATTCATAGTCTTATGTAACTGGAAGGCATAGAGACAGGATAGGCTGTGGGGCTGGTTTGATCTGTAACTGACAAACAACATAAATGAAATGGTTTCTTTCTAATCTCTGTCCTCTGCTTCTCCAGCATGACTTTCTTCTTAATGTCAGTTCTTCTTACAGCCCAAATAGCTATCTTATCAGCATCTTCTGATGCTATTATTGCCTGGTTCCTGTCTAGCATCTCCTCCATCAGCCAGTAAATTCCTGAGGTTTCCTATGACCAGTCAAGGAACTACTCTGAGTAACTTATACCAGTGGGTCTCAAACTCTCAGAGTTACTTCTAGAAATTACTGAGGATCTCAAAAGAATCTCTTTTGAGAGGTAGGTTTTACCTCTTGATAGTTGTCAAGTTAGAAGCTAGAACTGAGAAAATTTTAAAATATTTATTAATTCATTAAAAATAATTAACCTAGGGCTGAGGATGTAGCTGAGTGGTAGAGTGTGCTTACCTAGCATGCATGAAGACCTGGGTTTGACCCTGAGGATTGCAAAAATAAATAAATATATAAAAATAAATTAATAAAATAAACTCATTACATGCTTACATACTGATTTTAACCATGTTTTTCAAAACAAAAATATTGGTGAGAAGGATGGATTTTTTTTTTTAGACATCCTTGGAAAAAACCTCTTTTTACTCTTTCATAATGGAACAAAATTAGACTTTATATCTGCCTTCAATCTGTTGCAAATTGTTTTGGCTAAATACAAGAAGAAAATCTGGCTTCACATTGACATGTAATTGGAAAGTGTGAAGGATTTCAATATTTTTAAAGATAATTGTGTTGGGAGGCAGAGATTGGGGAGGCTCATATTTTGAGGCCAGCCTGGTCAGAGAGTTAGTAAGATTCCATCTCAACCAATAAGCCAGGTGTGTTAGCACACACCTATGGTCCCAGGTACTCAGGAAGTATATGTAAAAGGATAGCAGTCTGAGGCTAACACTGCAAAAACTGCCAGACCCTATCTGTAAAATAACTAATGCAAAATAGGGCAGGAGGTGTGGCTCAAGTGGTAGACCACCTGTCTAGCAAGTGGGAGGCCCTGAGTTCAAAGCCCAGCATCAGAAAAAAAAAAAAAAAGAAAAAAGATAATCGTGGTTATACTTTGATGCAACACACCTATAAAAACTATGCATCTACAAAATTCTACATGCAGTAGTTTCTTTTCTTTTTTGACAGTACTGGGGTTTGAACTCAGAGCCTTATAATTGCTAGGCAGGTACTCTACCACGCCAGCCCTATCGCATTGGGTATTTCAAGATACAGTCTCGAGAACTATTTGCCTGAGGTGGCCTTGAATTGTTATCCTCCTGATTTCTGCTTCCTGAATAGCTAGAATTACAAGCATGAGCCTCCTGTACCTGGCAAGCAGTAGTTTTTTTAAAGATTCATTTGCACTGTAGAATCTGAAAGCTACCTATTTTAAATCAATCTTTGCCATGTATAACTTTGGAAAATAACGAGTCAATGAGTTTTACAGGTCTTCCAAAGGTTGACATGTTAAACATTATCTAAAAATCCATTCATTGTCACCACTGATCTCAACAGAAAAAAATAAAAATCCTTCAGTACTGAGAAGCTGTCAAGCTCATGGTCATAAAAGCTTTCCAAAATTCTAAATTTCTCTTGAAAGTTTTCTGTCATTGGCAAGAAATAGTTACTTGTTTTTCCTTAAAGACACTAGCTTGCTTAGTTCATTTTCAAGAGAATGTCTCTCAAATACTCAAATCAGAATAACCATGGTTTGTCAGATGCTTTCTCAAGGAAAAATGGTATTCTTCAAAAATAAACAACTAATTTTGCTCACAACTCAAAAACTACATGAGCATTTTTCCCTAGACAACCATCTCATTACTCTGCAGCAAGTGTTTTATATGCAGTTTCCATTTTATAGTACAAAATATTAAAAGATACATCATCAAGACTACACTTAATTTACATAACTAATATTATAGATTTTAATAATTTTGGCACTATTGCTTTGATTTGTGATGACACTAGCAGTTTTGTTCACCTTTCTTTTGCGTCCTCGGTGAAAAGGTAAATAACGTCTCAGAAAATTATAAGATAGTTTTAACTTCAACGATTCCCCAAAAGGTCCTCAGAAGGTCCTGGGGTCCACAAGCCATATTTTGAGGTCCACTGGCTTAGAACAATCAGAACCCACATATAGAACTAAGAGTAGGACTAACTTATCTAAATGGTATGCTGCATCACAAAAGAGAAGGGTTAGAGGGATGGTTGAGTAACACCCGCTAGCAGATTGACCAATCTAATAAGTGTAAGGAAAAAAGTGAATTTGGGAAGTTGTAGTTACTGTCTTTATAAGTAGTCCTACCTCTTTGCTAGACAGTGTCTCTGAGCAAAGCCACTGACTTGGAGAGATATGAGTAAGGCTTCGAGATCTAGTGGATGATCCAAGTGTACTATTTGGGGATCTTTGAGACAGAGCTCATTTTCCTGCACAAGTGGTCAAACTCTCCCCCTACCAAATGTGAATAGAATGAATGAGGCTGGGACAAGAGGCAACTTCCACTTATTGTTCTTCCTCACCTTACACCTACCCTTCCAAGCCAGGGTACTGCCGACTCCCATGGCGTCCTTAATGCTAACTGGGCCTGGCTTTATAGCTGGGCGTCTGGGAGACAGCAAAGGCAAGAACAGCTGAAGCAGGCAGGCCCCAGTCTGGTTTCAGAAAGAGAGAGAGGTGCTCAGCATTCTCCTTGCAGCTGTCACTGCCGCAGGCAGCTGCTTTGTCTGGCTAGCTTTGGACAGCCCACTGGCTTTAGATTGCTCAGTGACAGCTTTTCCTCCTTCCCCCCACCCCCCCAAAAAAAATGCTCCTAGTGTCCTCACTTTAGGACAAACCAGAATTTTTTTTTTTAATGGAAAAACTGCTTTGGGAGGAGTTAAAGCAGAGCCCTCCCACTCCGTCCTTTCCAATGCTTTTGCTCTTGGCCTTCGTTACCCAGAGACATTTTTTCCAGTATCCCTGCTCCCACCAGCGGAAGAACAGAGATATCTCCAAAACAGCTGCTCTGTGCAATTTTCTTTTTTTAAACCGACAAGGCTCATGGTTTATGCAAACACATTCGGCTTAGGGTCTAGGATCTTCCTTTTCAAACTGAGAGAGGTATCAGAAACACAGGGTCTCCATGCTCTGTGTCTGTCACCCAGAAAAGAAATTCTGAACCTCATTGGCTTCACCTAAGAATCAATAGGCTCTAAGGCTCAGGAGGGTTACAGTCACATACCGCACACTCAACTATGTTAAAGAAATACCATATCCGTATTTTAAACTCTTCTAAAAATTCCTGAATTTTGAGGTTTACTAGTATCTGTGCTTTTAAAAATTGTATGACATTTCCTTCCCAGAATAAAGGACAGGGGGCGGGAGGGTGATAGTGCTTCTGGAGATACGAAAGTGAGTGCCACCAGGCCCAGGTTTTGCCGCTAAGTGCCCCCCAATGACTTAACCACAACTCACCTTTGTTTTCTGGGCCTCAGTTCCCCCATCTGTAAACCTACTTGGCTGGCTTGGGTAATTAATGCTATCACTTCTCCAACACGTGGAACACAAGGCTGTTCTGCAAATCCCAAGACACATCCAACCTGTCCCCGTGCTTGCCTCGCGGGGGCCCCAGAAACACCCGACCAGTTATGTGCCTGAGGACTACGGGGCAGCCACGTGACTACGTAAAGCCCCTTCATTCACTGGCTCCGCAATGGCTAATTCTGCGCTTAGCAAAAAGCTCCCGACCATTTTCAATCCACCTTTTCTTCCGGAATTCCCCCATCTAATCGCGCGCAGACTTGGAGCGATCGGCGGGCGCCCAGGACCCCGACCCCTCGCCTGAGGGCGCCCTGCTCCTCACAGCACCCCACCAGGCCGGAGGGCCCGCACTCCCTCGCGCGTTCCGATTGGCCGCCTGCGTCCTCGTGATGTCCAGCCCCGCCCCACGCCCCTCCTCCGCATCCGCGCGGGGGAGCGGCGATCGGGGCTGAATGGGCGCGAGCGCGGCGCCGGGGGCGGGCGGGGGCGCGGGGCCCGGGGCTGGAGGCCGGCCAGCGCCCCCTCCCTAGTATGCGCAGGACGGCGGCGGGCGGCGCGGCGCGGCATCCCCTGCAGCCGCGAACTCAGGCGGCGGCGACGGCGGCACCTGCCGGCCGAGGTACGTGGCGTAGCCCCCTCCTCGGCGTAGCGGGGGCAGGCGGGCTGGGGGGCGACCTGCCTGTGCCCACTCCTGGCAGGGCCCCGGCGCCTCCGCCCCAGCCCCCGCGGGCAGCGCCCAGGGTGCTGCGCCTGCAGACGCGCCTGCCGGGCGCGCGCGGGCCGAGGGTCGTGGCTCTGGGCTGCGAAGACCGGGCGGGGGACGCCGCTGCCCGCGCAGGTGTGGACGCAGCGGAGGGGTGAGGACGAACGGTGGGGATAGCAGGTCCAGCTCAGTGGCCCTTTTCCACACCGCTTTGCGCAGCGACTTGGGGTTTAATTCATTACTGGAATCTTCCGAGCTAGCGGGGTCAGATTAACTCATGTCCCCGCAACGGGCTTGGAGGACATCCTCGGCGGGGTTCCTAGGATCTGGTGAAACCGCCCTCTGCATCCATGGGGAAGGCGTGATGTGTGTGTGTCTGCTGGTAGAAATTCGCCAGTGACCTTCCCTGCCCCCTCTCTGCGTCCAGTCCTGCGGAGGAGACACGTTTTGACGACCTTTTGGTTTCTTGGGAATTGTAAGGAGCGGCTTGACATGGATATGCATTCATTGTGCACCTTTTTGAAGGTTTTGAGAGAACACCGCCTAGGAACCCAGCGAATAGAGAGGCGGGTTCCTGTTGGTACCCCCACACCAGCTGGGTGACCTTGGCAGACGCCCCTGGCCGGGGGAAGGAGGGGTCTCGTTTGTACTGAGAAGCTTAACCTGCTGATGGTCCCCTATTCGTAGTTTTGACCATTAAAAATACATTTATGAGTGAAGAGAGTTCTGCAGAATTGCTAGTTGACTTGGAAGATGAATTTTTTATATCCTTCCGTCTTAATTCATGTCTATGGACTCTGCGAAATAGGGTGTCACTGATTTTCAAGAGGAAACAGTATTACGTACTGGGCTTCATCTGGCACCCATGCGTTGCCTGCTCCTGGAGCCGAGGACTGTGCTGGGTTTTGGACTCACAGAGAGGAGACTCATCTCCTGCCCTCTGGTGTTTAGCCAGACTTTCCTCTTGGGTTATGACTGCTAATCCTCGTCTACCTGCTGAAAGATACTCGGCCTGGAACTGGGAACAGGGATTTAGTTCTGTTGAACAGTCAGGACAAGTTGTGGTTTCACTAGTATAATCCCAAAGCTTGACAGCTCAGAGGGGTGTCTACATTTCCAGTTACAGAGCTGGAATCATCTGACTTCCATCCATCGTTTTGACAGGGAAGCTTAATATGAACTGCAAGAGCACTATGATCAGAGTGCTGTGTCTCTTTTACAATATGTCCATTGCATGACTGCTGCTGTTTCTGTAAGATAAAATGACTAAACCTCAGGGATTCTTGGTTATGACTAGCATTTCTTCCTCTAGGCAAGAAAAGAAATGGGTAAGGTGAGGAGGTATGAAACAGTTTATGGAAAAGAGAGAGGGGAGACTGGCAGGTGTATGACTATTTTGAAAAGTTTTATAATTTTGACACATGTTGCAAATTGTAATCAAAGTAGATTAAGTGGTGAATGTTAAGGGTACATTCAAGGCAAGATAAGAAGCCGGTTGTTTTTCATTTGCCTCCATTTCTCCCCGCTTCTCAGTCTCAGACCAGAGGGGAGGTTAGCAGGCTAGATCTTGGGAAGCCCATAGGAAATGAAGTTTACCCTCCACACCCTTCCAGCTCCTGACAAATGATTTAATCCCCACTGCCTGTGGAGACTAGAGGATTGAGATCACCCCAAAAGGCATGTTCCTTGTTGTTAGTGTCGCTGAGAAGCTTTGGCAGAAATTAAAACAACTGAGAATATGTACACATTAATGATGATACATGCTCCCTAACTGCTAAGGAAGAAGAGGCCAGGCTGGATCAGTGTGGGTGGCATAAGTTAGCAAAGCCATCCACCAGGGGGCTGTGAATCATAGGCCTTGGTGTAGAAGGAAGCCATAAATATGGATGGTGACACTCAGGCTGTCCCAGGAGAGGGACTCAGCTTAAGCACATGGGCAAAGGGAGCAAGTGAGATGTGTAAAGGGCGAGGAGAAAAATGAGCTTAAAGAGGCCCAAGGGTGCTTCCATGCTTAGCTTACCTGGAAACCAGATGAAGTTTTTGTTTTTGTTTTTGTTTTTAAGTATAGCATAGATACTAGAAAAGTACACATACCCAAAATATTCTATTGCATAATGACATACTGAACACATTCACACATTCATCACTCAGGAAACAGAACATGATGGGACCCTGGATATCATCGTTCCCAGTCATTGCCTCCTCCAGGATCACCCCATCCTGACTTCCCTTGCTTGTAATCTATATAAATAGAAACCCATGATATCTCCTTTCTTTCCATGGGTGCTAAGTGTCTGAGCATCTCTACCATGCTGCCTGTGGTGGTAGCATGTTCACTCTCCTTGCTTATGGTGGCCATTGGGTGAGTGTACCACCTGTTTATCCCTGAACTATCACTGGGCATTTGGGTGGCTTCCAACATCTGGCTGTTATTACAGATGGTGCTGCTGTGGCTGCTCTAGTGCCTGGCTTTGGTAACGTGTGTATGCATTTCTGCTTGGTCTCTACCATGCAGCAGGATTGCTGGGTGACAGGTGTGTGTATTGCTTACTTTGGGGACCCATAGGCAAAATTATTTTATTCTAGTTTTGGAATAACCACATTGGTAGTTCCTCACTACTAGATGGTAAAGATGACAGTTTTCAGGAGACAGAGCTGTTCCAGCAATAAGGATCAGTTTCTACCTGGCTGAACTCTGTGTGACCTCAGGAAGTATGGTCACTCCCCCCCAGGCTCCATTCTCACTTTGGATCGGACAGTAGGGCAGGCGGAATAGTAGGGAACCCTTAGCTCCAAGACCCTTTGATATTAGGGAAGAGTTTCTATGACCAAACTGCTGAACTTGATTTTAGTTCCCACCTTTCTTGCTACAAACAACCTCTGCCTGAACTTTTGTAACTGTACTTTATACTTTGTGTCTGCTTCTCTGATCTGCTGTCTCTGTAGACCTCTGGATTTCTGCTTAAGATTCCCAGTGACCTGGAGGAAAAACCCATTCCTTGTCTGGGCTTTTAGACATACATGATATTTTTGTTCTTCTGTTACAACATGAAAAAATATCCAGGATAAATTTTGAATGGTTCACCAATTCCTCTAGTCATGAATTCTCTTTTCTCCTTTGTTTTTTTAACATCTGGAATTATAATAGTTAAGTCTCATGGGTTAGGAGTTGGTAGGTTTGACAAAAATAACAAATTATGTTGAAAAGGTCTACTTTGATGGAATACTTACATCTTTTGTATGTTAAGACTCTTTTTAAGATTGTGTCATTTTCATAGTTACAGGCTTACATATATTGAGATCATAACAGTTTTTCTAGACTTGTAGAGTTTCTTCTTTCCTGGCTGCCTTCTCTCCTCAGTCTCTATTTTCTCATCCTCTTCTGTCTTATTCTTCACCCCCTTTCTGTTTTTCACAAACAACTTGTTCTCTTATCTGGACTCTTATTTCTTATCTAGACTCCGACAACAAGAACGTCAAGAGAACAGAATGTGGCTTTCATACTCTTCTTTTTGCTTGTCATTTTCTTTAGTCATATTGTTAGTCATCCAGGGCTTAGTGACTGGTGTGGGCTTCTTGTTTATCCTTCTTCTGGGTCAGTGCTGTCCAGAGTATAACCTGAGCTACACTTAACAATTAAAAATTTTCTAGTAACTACTAGAGTAACTACTAGGAGTTTCAATTCCTCAGGAAGATGTGAACTTCTAATCTCTTATGTACCTAATAACACAGCTTCAAATTATATAAAGTAAATTATTAATAACCTACTTGATATTATTCTGTTTATACCAGATTTTCAAAACTTAGACATGCTACAAAACATAGACAGAAGGAGGCACATGCTTTACCCATTCACTCTGTCTCACCCATTGTAGACCTATTTTACATAGGCACATTTAATTTTCCCCATGGCCCTGTGAGTTTGGTACCATTATTGTTCCCATTTTATAAAGGAGGGCATTGAAGTACAGAGAGGTTTAGGAACTAAGAAACTGTAGGTGGCAAAGCCAGGATCAGATCTGGAGGTGGTAAATGAGACAATCATATCCATGTCTTTGTAGCATATAGCACATTCCCACCCCCAAGGAGGCTCTTGTCAAAATGTGTGAGGTTGATCTGAGGTGGCAGAGGCAACTCTGGTCCCTGTCTAGGTGTGTGCACCACCAACCACCATGTCATTGCTCACTGGGTCTCCACAGCAGCCTCCTAACTCATGAGAGGTCTTCCCCATTTCCAGTCCAGCCTCAAGAGAGGTTTCTCAAAATCCAATTCCACTTTAACACCCCACCCCCACTATTGACTCTCTTTTATTCTCAGGATAAAATTCCAGACCTCATGACAGGGGTCTGACTTTTCCAGCATTCTCTCAGCATATTGTGACCTCTCCAGCTGTGACCCTTCAGACACACTGCATTTGGACTTCTCTCATCTGTTCCTGCTGTCTCTGTGCCAGTGGCACCTGCTTCCCCCATCTCACTCTGATTCCTACTTAGACCACAACAGAAGCATTCCTTCCTCAGGGAAGTCTTTTTCTAACACCTGCCCCCAAATCTTCTTATAACACTCTTCCCTAATGTCCAACTCAGAATAAATTAAGAAGAAAAGCCATAAAAATAATTACATTGGTGATCTACTGGTCTGCTTTTACAAATGAGATCATAGGCCTTTTGAAGGAGGGGCTGTGTCAGTGCTGCTGATTGCTGTATCCCCAGGCACACACTCCATGTATGATTAAAAACTGCTATGTCTGTCTGGGAGCCTGCCCAAATGCTGGCTTAAAATTTTTGGCCAAGATGAAAGGGATGTGTGATTGGGGTGTAAAAGGAAATCATGTGTTTTAGTCATTCCTCTTACAGACCTAACTATATGTTGTTGGTTTTAGAAATACAAACATGTTTAACTTGTTTTGAGTTTAA